GTTTCCAGAAGGTGGGTATTGGAGCTGGTTCGTGAAGTCGGGCAGAGCCGCGGTGATGGCCGCTGACGAGAAGCGCTCGTTGGGACCTCGGGTGCCACGGTTCAGGCTCATAATGGAAAGATCGCCAAACGCTTCCATTCCGTCAGTAACCATGGATCCCAGGAATTCCTCATCCGCGGGTGGTCGACCTCGGATACTGTTTGTAGGATCAATGTTCTTGTGATCAAGTTCCAAGCCTTTGCAGAGAACTTCGATTTCGAATTTCTGGTTAAGTTTCAGATCGGCGAAGTGGTAGAGTTCCATGAGAACTCCCAGCATTTCCATAAGCCAAGGATTGGGGGGCTTGAAGATTGTAGACTTTTGGGCCTGTACAAGTACCTTGCAGGTAAAGGGAATCACAAGCAGAAGACGATCGGTGTCGTAGCCCTCATGCAACAGATCCTTGAACGAAATGTTACGGAACTTGATCGGCTGGTCGCGGGCGATTGTCAATGAGCCAAGCCAAGAGCCTAAATTCTTGAGATGGCCACGCTCTGTGGAGCCCAGCGTGGAGTCGGTATTGAGCATGCGAATGACGCTTGAGTACGTCTCACGGAGTACCTCGGCCCAGAGGGTCTTGTCGTTGAAGAGATCTAGCATATCGAGGTACAGCTGCTGGAAGTTGGGTTGCATCTTGGCACGCTCCTCGACGAGATAGTTTGCGAACCATTGGTGATGCCTTTCTTCGACGGCTTCAGTGAGGTCGTTGATCTTATCGCGCAGATTACGCTCGGAAACGTTGTTCAATACGAACAAAACCTTGTCCTGCACGTCCTCATCTGGGTCCTCGTAGAGCTCAGGGCGGAGAGGGGGGTCGACGTAGAGGCAGGAGAACTTGGGTACAGCCGGCTCCTGGTGCAGAGCTTCATCGATACCGTTACCGTTCGTCATGCCTACGCCGTTGTGACCGTCACCGTTCACTTCACCGAGCTGCTGACCTACGACTTCTTCAGCTTTAATAAAAATCTCAGTTCCTTGAAGCCCAGGGACAATGAGAAGCTGATCGCAGTAATTGGGCCACTCAGAAAGTCGATTCGAGAAATGGATCAGAGCTTGGAGACCAAACTTGTACATACTGTCTTCGGGTCTGTATTCCTGAACAGCTTCTAGAACCATAGCCAATCCAACCTGAAGTGCAATTCGGGACAAGAGGTTGAAGTTGATGATACCCCCGAAAAGCACAGCAGTCGTGGCTAAGGCCTCTAGAGGATATTCCCCGAAGCAGTTGTACTCGTCGAAAAGGCCATGAATCATGCACGCGAACAGTTCCTGGTCTGCGGGGTCGCGCGATTCTTTGTACTTCTTGAGTGCTGAGATGATGTCTCTGACGTCGCTATCGCCGCTGTACATGTTCTTGAAATGCTCCTGCATCTTCTTGTCGGCATCGTCTGGAAGCGAGTTTCCATTCTGCCCGTTGGCATCGATGATGTCATCCACGCCTTCGCCATAGTTGATTAATCGCGGGTACGCCTGGATGCAGTTCCTTTGGAGGGGCAGCAGCTCGGGCTCGGGTAGACCACAGTCTGAGAGGAATCCAAGCAAAGGGTATACTGTCTTCACTGCGAGTGGCAGATTGAGAGGTAGATGGTCGTCTCGTGCTCGTTGCATCTCTTCCGCAGCCCGCGCACTCAGAAAGTTAGTCAGGATGCGACGGAACAATGGTCCTGCCTGGTCGAAAGTCTGCTCCAGCCAGGGCTGGAGGTCAAACTTGCCGCGCGCATGAGCTTGTGCAGCCAGGTCCAAGCTGATGTCAGTATTACTGCGAATCAGTTGCTCTAACCAGTTGTTCGTTTCGGCGTGCTCCAGCACCAGGGTAAGGGTCATCGAATCGGCGTTGTATGCGTCAACAAAGCGATCTGTAAGCCATTGGAAATCCTGCTTCCAAAGACCATAGAGGACGAAATTGTATATAGGCAGCTTCTTCTGGAAGTAAGGATCAAACAGCTGTTTCAGTGCTTGTTCCTGCAAGGCACCCCAGGGTTTCGGTACTGCCGCTGCCGCTACCAGGAACTCCGCTGTGTGTGGATTAATCACCAAGTCGGGTATGCCCATGAGCTGTGCGGTGTGATATGTCTCGGACGTCTGGAAGATCATGTTGAATAACGCGGCGGTCGCGTCAAGCGAAACGAAGGGATGCTTGACGGCTTCTTCTGCGAATGACTTGGCGTCGTCGGAGGCGTTCTCGAATGTCTTCATCGAGTACGAAGTGCGCAACCTGGGAATCTGGGTCACGTCCAGCTCTTGCCGTGTAGAAGACAGGAAAGCGACTACAAAGTACAGCTGCGTCAAGTCGTGTTGCCATTGTCCTCCCCATAGTGCCTGTATGTCGAACTTCTCGTTGTCCTGGGCGACGGGGAGCAGCGCGTTGTAGATGGCCAAAAACTGGTGGCGCTCGATGCGTAGGTGATCGCGGTCGAATGCCAAAACAACGTCCTGCCAGTCTATTCTCTGTCCGGTCCTGTGTTCGCGCAGTGCGGCTACGAAGTTTTTGGCATTGTATCCGGTGGAGAGGGCGAGGTAAAGGAGCACTGCCGCGACTTGCTGGTAGCTAATGTCGCGCGTCTCGGCCGACGCGAGCACCTCTTTGCATGCTTCCACCGTAGCTGTGCCTTGCGGACCTGCCTGTCGTACAAGCTTGACCAGCGGGTTTCGCGAGCCATCCGTAAGCTCGACGAGTATCAGTTTCGATTCGACGATGCCGGGGATCTGTTGGTGTGTCTGCTGGTATCGCATCTGGACGGCGTACGCGAGGCTCATCTTCTTCTCTTCGTCCCACCCTTGTGGCGGGTCTTGCAGTAGGCGTTCAACGAGGGCGGCGAGGTATTCGTGGCTCATGTCCTCTGGCTGGGTGGGCTGCGCAATGGCCATTAGCAGGTCGTCGCCGACGGTGGAGAGGACGGCATCGGCTAATGAGAGTTAGCGTGAGAGTCAATTGGGAGGTGAGAGAGCCCACCTTTGCTCCGGAGATCTGTCTTCCTGCAAGCGAGAGCTAGCATCGTCTTTGCGACCGAGTCGAGCTTGAAGTGGGCTATGAAGGCGGACAGGTCGAAGTCGCGGAACAGGTCGCCCTCGCTGGAGCTTATTGACTCTGCAATCTTGTCTGCCTGCTCGGGCTCCTTCCGTATCTTGTGCACCTCGGTGAGGAGGATCTGGTAGCTGCCGTTGGGGTCGGCGTTGCGGGCGCCGGTGCCGAAGATGGTGGCTGCATTGTTCTGCAGCACGCGGCGGAAGTATTTCGAGAAGACCTCCATGCCGTTAGAGTCGACCAGCTGGCGGCGCGTCAGTAAAGTACCAATGGGGGAGGGGCGATGGGACAACGAACCTTCCTGATCTGCTCGGTTTGCGTGTCCCACTTGGCGCGGTCTTTGTCGTCCTTTACGGGGCCAAACTGACTGAGCAGCAGGAATATCTGGGCGATGACAATGCGGGAGAGGTTCTGCGAGGACGCGCCGGACGGGTTGCTGGCGGTGCTGGGGGAGCCCGTGGTGCTCGAGGTGGAGAGCGAGGGCGAGGCGCGGACAAGCTTGGAGGCTCCTCCGCCGCTACTTGACTGTGCACCGGCGCCGTTGGTAGCGGCTGCGGCGGAGGAAGCCAGGTGCTGTGCAGCGTGGGGCGCTATGGTCCTGGGTCCTCTCGAGGACAGCAGCTGGCTGGCGGGGAGCTGCTGTCCTGCGGCGGGCGGGAAGGGCGACGAAGTTATCGAGGCGGCCGACGACTTGCGGCTGCGGACCAGGCGCTGCGAGACGGACGATGGCGGCAGCGAGGGGAAGTTGGAGGCGGCGGGCGACTGGCTGGGCCGCGAGCTGCTGGGCGAGGGCGTGCTGGAGTTGCGCTGATCGTGGGCAATTGCGGTCGAGATGGGCGAGGGACGTGTGCTTTGGTTTGGTCTCGGGCCCCAGGGGTGTTGCTGGCTCATCGAAAGCGTCTTTCCATGAGTAGCGCGTGGCAGGCGGGGGAGGGGTGGTGGTGATGGCGTGGGCGTGGTGATAGACTGGATGATGTTCACGCTCGCCCGTGTAGGAAAGCGATGTTCTTGGCAGAGTTTAGTAGACCTGACACGTTTGACAGAGCAACAACACCACGAAGTCTTGGAAGGGCATGTGTATGCATTGACTAAGATTCCGTTCTCTATTCGTGACTGGCACTCATTTTCCATAATACCACTATTGCGCTCATTCTGACGATGAAGCTGTTCGTGAGGCTCCAGGGCTACCTGCTGCTGATACCCCACACTCCGCCTAACGACATGACTGTATCCATCCTGTCCAATTCCCATGCCACATTCCTCCCTCATCGGCGAGGGTACCCTGACTTGGACGTATTTTATCACATGACTTGGAGATTGTCAATGGTTCCTCCAAGGTTGTCATTGATGCAGTCTGGGCATCCTCAGCGAACTGCAGCTGCACGACTTCCAGCCCACAACAGTGTAGACGACAGGCACGATGCATACTCTGCATGCAGCACACAACAGCTTAACACAACTGAGCATGCACTCTGCTAAAGTATGTTTCTCGGAGACATTGAGCTCATGCCCGACGCAGCCCCTTGCGCCGGCTTGCTTGTTTGCAGTATGACGATGATTCTAACACGGCCACGCGATGCATTGGTCCGCGCGAACACATCAAGAAACGCAGCACAAGAAAAGAATATTCCCAATAACAAGCCAAACTATCAATAGGGGTGATAGGCTGACCTGCACGCGGTGGTTCGTCATAGTGCTGGGGTTAGCGCTCCTAGGTACCCCTCGGCGCTCGCGTCGCCTAGGTGATGTTGCTGGCCGTCAACACAGCTGTACACCGCCAGCACATCCTGGTTTACCGTCAACACCTGGCTCAGTCGCTCGACTGCATATCCAATATCCCCATATTCTTCCCCCACCCACATGCGAGCATTCGCTTTCTCGCTCACTCTGCCCGCCCCCTCAATTTCCCCTCGCTGAAGCAGTAAACACACGCGCCATGGGTGGTGCAGCGACGGAGCCGCCTTCGGTCTCCCTATCGTGTACGTGAATTGCCTACTGCCTCTACTCCACCCATACTGACGATTGCAGTCGCCAACAATTTCTGGGGCAAAGATGACGCCGGCGTCGGTCCCATGCTCGACCGCATGCATGCGGCCAAGGTCACCAACGACGAACTCAAGAACTTCTACGCAGCCCGCTCGGCAATTGAAGAGGAATACTCGCGGAAACTCCTAAATCTTTCGCGCAAGCCCCTGGGATCCTGCGAAACCGGCACCCTACGACTGTCGTGCGATGTCATCCGAGCCGAGGTCGAATCCATGGGCAAGGCGCACCAGAGCATAGCACAGCAGATGAAGACGGAGCTAGAAGAGCCACTAGCCGCTTTCGCTGGTGGAATGAAGGAGCGCAGGAAGATTGTACAGAACGGCATTGAGAAGCTGCTCAAGCTGAAGATGCAGCAGACATCGACTGTCAACAAGGCACGCGATCGGTACGAGCAGGACTGTCTCAAGATCAAGGGTTTCCTAGCGCAGGCGCACATGGTCATGGGACACGAGGAGCGAAAGAACAAGGCAAAGCTGGAGAAGACACAGATCAATCTGGCGACAACCAGCAGCGAATACGAAGCTGCGGTCAAGGTGCTCGAGGAGACCACCGGCAGATGGAACAGGGACTGGAAAGCCGCCTGCGACAAGTTCCAGGATCTCGAAGAGGAGCGCATCGATTACACAAAGAGCAGTCTCTGGAACTTCGCCAACATCGCCTCCACAGTATGCGTCAGCGACGATGCCGGATGCGAGAAGATGCGCCTGTCCCTCGAGGATTGCGACGTAGAGAAGGACATCAGCGGCTTCATCAAGGAGTCCGGCACGGGCCAGGAGATCCCCGACCCTCCCAAGTTCATCAACTTCTGCAGAGGAGACGCCGAGACCTCATCGCAGGTTGACGAGGACGAGAACTACTCAGTCGCCCAGTTTGCTAGGACCTTGAACCCATCCTACCGCGCTTCATCACCAGCGCCATCTACATTCTCCTCGCATCACGATCCAAACAACCCACTAGTACGAGAGCTAGGTCTCCCACAGGAAACACGCCCGATTGCTCCTGACGATCTACTACCACGACAGTCCTTGGACCGTCCACCACAGCGTCAGTCTATAGATATGCCTCGACAATCTGTAGAATCATTCAGACAGCCAGTAGAACCACCGCCTCCGCTCATGGATGAACCCCGCAGGCGTGGAGAGTCTCCCCACCAACAGGCAGAATCTCCCCGACAGTACGCACAATCGACCCGGTCGCGTGCCCAATCCCGATCAAATGGGGATTACCAGCATCAGCAGGTCGAGCCGCTGAGGCAGCGCGCAGAACAGCCCCAACCGCACGTGCAGCCTTTGAGACAACATACAGACCCACCAAGACAGCAGCAGCAGCACATCGAGCCTCTGAGACAACAACACCACATTGAACCTCTGCGACAACATGTGGAACCACCAAGGCAACCAGAGCCACAGCAAGCCCCTCCATCCCCACAAGTTGCACGCGCAGTACAGCCAGATCCTCGATTGGTTCAGGCACAGCAACAAGCTCGTCAACAATACCAGCAAAGTCAGGTACCACACAATGACTATCCTTCGGATGGAATGACACAGTTCTGCCGCATCGATGCACCGTCTGACCGCAGCTCGATCCCAAGTCCCGCTCGACCTGCCAGTAGGGATTCACAGAGCGATTACTCCAACCCCACGTCTTTCTCCAGCATTGAGCCTCCAAGTGGTTCAGCTTCTCCTGGCAAGCCGATGCCACAATCACCGTTACCTGAACCCAGTCCGATCGAAGAGGGCTCTGTGGCAAAGAAGAGAGGCTTCTTTAACAGCCCCTTCGCACGGAGAAAGAGCAAGCACGAAGTCGAGACCCCAGCAGCTCTTACTCCTGCCAATCGCAACCGGAACACATGGGCACCTCCCGCTCGCAGGAACACGGAGGAGAACACCAGCCCAACCAAGAGCTTTGCTACTAGAGCCGCTCCTCGCAATGCTATACAGAGCCGCGCTCCCTCGCCCAGCCCTGAACCAGCGGATCCTCGTGCCAACTTCCAGCTCAACGTTGGCAACAACGTTTTCGACGTGGCCTCGCCGGACAAGAAGAAGCAACAAGAGCAGGAAGAGTCGCAAGAGGATCTTGATCCAATTGCGCAGGCCCTTGAGGAGCTGAGAGGTGTCACTAAGCAAACGTCTGTTCGTCAGCAGCCAGATGATCGCAAGCAGGCTTCTTCTCGCCAGACTGCCGATCGTTACCATGGTCTCGCAACGCCTGCTCCGGGTACACCTGCTGTCGGGTCGAAGTTGGCAGGTGGTGCACCTACTCCCCTTTCTAACGTCGACCTGAGCGCTGCAAAGCGAGGCACACCTCCACCAACATACGAGCAGCCAAAACGCGAACAACCGCCTCCCCAGCCTCGTGAGCAGCCGCGCGAACAACCACCCATGTCTCACCTGGGTGCTCCTAAGCCAGCGCATACTTCGCGCGCTATGCAGAAGACGACTCAGATGTATGTCAATCAGAAGGTGAGCATGTTCAACGGAAGTCAGGCGTCTCGATCCTCCAGTCGCAGCCCTACAAAGCAAGAGCCCCCACGTGTTGCATCTCCAGCGCAACCACCTCGAGCTATCAGTCCTCGACCAACCCTCAATACGTCTCAGAACTCATACCGCTCATCTGGAGGGCAATCACAGCCATCATCGCCTTCGACATACCAACCTGCGCAACGACAGCAACCACCAGCATCGCAGCCTGCACCAAGAGCGCAACCCGCTCCACGTCAACAACCTGTAGCTCAGCCTGCGCAACGGCCGCAACCTGCGCAACAACCAACGCCACGACCGGCATCGAGGCTACAGCAACAGCAACAACAACAACAACAGCAGCAGCAGCAGCAGCAGCAGCAGCAAAGGCCTCAACAACAAGCCCCTCCCGCAAATTCATTCAGCCGGACCGCATCGCCCAACCCATATGCGGCATCAAATGCTGGGGGCAGGCCTAGAGCACAGACAGCTACTGCCGCTGCACAAGCATACGGTACACCTGTAGGACGTAACTCGTACTCCTCGAACCGTGGCCCATCTCCCAGTGTCAACCCCACCCCACGAACTGCCTCCCCTCTTCCCCCACAACAGCCCCCTCAACCAGCCTACGCGCAATCGCAATCGCGCCCAGCATCTCGAGCAGCACCCGTGTCGCGAGCCGCAAGCCCCAACCCACAATTCCGCCAATCCCAAGAACGACCCAGCAGTTCCCACAGCGGCATGGCTCTCGCACTCTCCACCGCAGGCAGCGAGCGTGGCGACGGCAGCGTCTACGGCGGAAGCCAGTACGGAGGCAGCGTACGTGGTAGGCCCGGTACTGCTTCTTCCGCCCGGCCCACGACAGCCAGTTCAGCTCGCCCAGGCACCGCTAGTACCGCCCGCCCGCAAAGCTCCTACATGGGCGGCGGCAGCGCAGGAAGCGAATTTGGCTTCAGCGGCGGGTCTGGCGCTGGTTCCGTGAGAGCGGAGTCCAGAGCTAGAAGTAAGAGTTTGGCTGAACCGAAGAATTATAATAGCCAGGGTAGGGTCATTTTGAACTACTGTAAGTTTTACCTTTGATTTTGATGATGAAGGACGTCGGCTAACGATCACGACAGCACGTGCAATGTACTCGTATGCAGCGCAGATTCCAGAGGAACTGGGCTTCCAGAAGGGCGATATCTTGGCTGTGCTTAGGTTGCAGGATGATGGGTGGTGGGAGGCTGAGCCTGTGGGCAATACGGGTCGACCTGGTCTTGTGCCGTCGAACTACTTGCAGCCTTGCTAAGTCATGCGACTTTCTGGATTGACGAGGTTTGAGAAGGATGGGAGGAATGCTCTTGATGGTTTCGACCAACGTCTGTTTTGGTTTTGATCTAGCGATTTTGCTTGCACATACCCTCGTTCTATCGTTTGGCGTTCGCTTTGTTTGTTTTGAACGATCGAACAAAGGGGACGTGCGATGATATGGACGGAAATGAGATGGGATGAGATGGAACGGAATGGTATAGGCTTAGATAGCCAAACGTACATAGCACTCGACCGTACAACGAACAAAATGGAAACTTGTACATGCCACTCTTGACACACACTTCCATTTGCTTCAAGAAAAAGTATGAGCTACGGCAAGCGTCCCTTCCCGTCTACACACTCACGCCTTCGGAAGTCCCAGCCAAGTCACCAAAAAGAGCAAAAAAGAAGCAGAATACATACAACAGCGGGGATTCGCTAGTGGTCACCCACCTAACTACTAATCCGCCGGTATCATGCTTGTATATGGCTGAGCGGACGGGAAGCCTAATTTTCATGATCCTATGGTCGTATGTATCATCCACATCTGTCTGCAACAAGATGACCTCGATCGTCGCGATCTGAAGCCTTTGACCTGATGCTCAGTACGTGGCTGTGAAATGATGTAGTTCATGCTTCCCTTTGTCGGAATTATCTCAAGATGATAGCTGGCCGTATAAAACTGAAGTTTGGATGCTTTGCTGTGTAAAAATGGGAGTTTGGGTATCTACTCAGTTGAACGCCTGTCATGCTCTTTTTCGCTCGTTTGCTCGCTGCAATATGCCATCCACCGAAATGCCGTATCTCATGCCCTCCAGATTGAACGCCCAGATTCCCAAATATTTCTCCCTGCTCAGTAGTTTTCTTCTACTCATAAGTATTCTCATACGGATCCGCATCATCAATATCCTCATCCTCGCCATTATCAAAGTACTGCTCGGCATTATAATCATCGTCGCTCTCCTCCGAATCCGTACTGGCGGCGCTCCAATTATCCTCCTCATCAACCGCATCAGGCTTCTCCTCGTCGATCTCGTCGTCTTCGGCTTCGGCTTCGTCGTCGTCTTCTTCGGCGCGCGCTTCGGCTTCGTTGGTGCGCTCTTGTTCGGATTTTATCAAGCGCTCGATTTGGGAGACGCTGCTTACTTTTGTTACGGCGAGGGTGCGGCGGGCGGGCTTTTTGGTGTTGGAGGTGGAGGTGGTGGTGCCGGTGAGGGTTGTGCGGAGTTCGGTGGGGAAAAGGTCGATGACTGTGGGGGTGTTAGTTATATTGACTGTTTTATGAAGGCTCATGGAGACTTACCATATGGTCGCGCGTCTAGTTTTGGGAGGCGCCGGCGCACTTTTAGGTATTTCGCGGAGTAGGTCTGGTTGCCGGTGAAGGGGTCGAAGAGCGAGGCTTCGGTGGGGGCGGGCTCGTTGGCCTTGCGCTTCAGGCCGTTTTTCATGCCGTCATTGAGGATCGTGTAGAAGGGGCCTTCGTGGATGCGGTCCCGGACTGCGAGGTGGTGCTTTACCATAGCTAGCTCATCGTCGGTTGGTGGAGGCGCTTGGGGAGGTGGTGCTTCCTGCGTATGGCTTAGTGGGTTGATCAAAGATGCACTCTTCAGTATCGTGCTGGTGGGCTGCTGCGACTGCGACTGCGACTGCGACTGGGATTGGCGAAGCATGGTGGTTGCGACAACATTATATAGACATGCGCAGTGCTACAAGACATGCGCGATGCCATAGAAAACATGCGCAGAGCAGTCGCGGTACGGCAGATGGATATGCGACGGAGAAAGGGAGATGCTCACTGGAAAGCGCTCGGCAGGGCCCTTCTGAATGTCGAGGCCAGTAAGATCCCAGTTGAGCTCCGTTCCCGCAATCGTCACGGTTCCTCGCGCGGGATTGAAGGCACCTCCGCGCGAACCTCCGCGCCCACCACCTCGTCCTCCTCTTGCTGGCGGCATGTCAAGTTTCTTGTATTATACGAGTCGCGGTGTCTACTATGATTTTCTTTTGACGGCAGGTCGAATAGGCGTCGTCGAGGGAGACTTTGAGGAGAGTTGTGGAGTCAGAAATTATTTCGGTGCAGTTGCGACCGGCTTGCTAGGCTGAGCTCGAGGGTGGGGTCCCAATAGCGAACTTGCACCCGCAGCCCCGCCACCTCTACACTAAACCCCGGTATTCAAGTGCACGACAATAGGGACGTTCGAAGCGATACCAAGTCATCTACAGTCTTTAACCGGATGCATATCGAGTTATAGCGACCCAGCTTGAGGAACAGTCGCAGTCCAAGCAGTCAGCACTCCCCGCCATCACCGCGCATCAGGCTACCGGGAACGCGTGCCCATACGCGCAATCACATGAGCGGCCTAGAACCTTCTCTTACACTATAACCGCCACGCTGGAGCCAGGACTACCATCGACAACGTCGACAGTCCAACTTCCTCAAGAAACACTACATCCAGACATACAAAATGGCCGCATCGACTGCTACACTCAGCGAGCTGTCAGAGCATCTGCAAAAGGTCGACCAAGATCCTACCACTCCGCTCGACACAGATCTACTTGAGCGATGCGAGCTCTCCACCGACACGCCAGAATACCGTAGCCAGATATGGAAAGAGACGAGACCGCTCTTTCTGCAGATGGCGGCGTTACTACCAACGCTTCAACAGGATCCCACGCCACTCACCCACTTTATCATCAAGTTGGCAGAACCATATCGATTTGACGATATCAAAGACATTGATTTTGAGATCGGACTTGATCTAAAGGCTACTCCATTTCACAGTCTCATCCTGACACTGTTAGAGAAGGCCACCACAAGTAGCACCGATGCTCAAGCACTTGCGAATCGGCCAGCGGTCATATTGGCCATCGTCCGTCTGTGGCTATGCACCCAAGATGCTGGAGTCGCTACTCAAGCCGAAGAGCTTCTTACTTCGTTGTTGGAAGTGTCGAAGAATGAGCCTGTATCGATAGACGGCAAGTCTTCGCTACATACATATGGTACTGGTCCTATGTGGAGGCGCCTATTCAGCGACAGGGACATTAGTTCGCTGTACTACCATTACACATCTATCAAGGACCTCACATCGCCCCCTCAGCCACTTCTGAACAAACGTGACAAGACCATTTCACAGGCTAGACTATTATCCTGGCTACCGCGTGTCGCCGCCATGGACTGGAATGCCGTCACATCCCCATACAATCTGGAGGTCGAAAAAGAAGTCGGACTGAAGGAAGGTCAAGGCTTGCTGCATTACGCTACACTGAAGATGGTGGATACAGAAGATGATATGCTCATGCATATGACCCTGCTCCAATTCTACAGCACATTGATCACCACGGTCAAAGCAAAGCCCCACCTCTCACATTATGACTCAAGTCTTGCTCTGGATTTCCTCATAGAAGAAGGTGTGCACAAAGGCATCGTCGACTTCCACACCTCAAACAATCCCAGCCTTGACCACTCTTTCTTGAGCAGTCGAACAGCCCAGTACATCAGCGATTACGCATCGCACTACCCAGAGAACTTCGAGAAAAGCAACGAGATGCCCACTATCCGGAATTACGTACACCGCAACATTCGCAAGTGTGAAGCAAGCGACCTGAACATTATTGCTTCAATGCCTCGATCAACGCTCATACCGCAAAAGGCTTCAGGGCCATCCTGGGATGACTGTGTCATTACCGACATGCCAATCACGCGAACGAACCAAGACGCGCTCAAGACACTTGCAACCATCTTCCACGGTCCACCAAAAGAAGAGATCACGTTCCCACAAACCGAAACTATAGGTTCAGACAGCAAACGCACACAGACCGAAGCAGCATACGCCCGCCTCCTCACTGCCCTCTTCTATATGAAAAAGCCAAACATGTTCGCCGACATAACCACACACATGGAAACCATCGCCATGAAAGAGAATGCCCTCGCAGCCTTGACCCTCGTCGGCGCCCTCATTACCTCGACTTGGTCGACCGAACCAATTCCCAACATCCCCGCAAACGACCCAACTTACGCCCGTCTCAACGCCTTCCCCAAATCCGGTGTTGACCTCATCTTGGACCCTACTATTAGCGGCGGTGTTCTCCCTTCACTGCTCAAGCCAGCAACGACTTTTAGCAACCTCGTTGGTGGACGTGGCGATGCGGAGAACGCGGCGTATATCGTTGCAACGGCGAAGTTCGAGGTGCTGAAAACACTGGGTAGGAAGTTGGAGCAGGATGGTGGGAGGCAGGATGTGCTGGCTATGGTGAGGAGGAGGGTTGGTGATGGGGTTTGGGGTGATAGCGGGAACGTTGGGAGCAGGATTGGGACGTTGGAAATGTGAGAGCGGGGTGCTTGTAGATTAGGGATGTTGCGTAAGGAACACGTTTGAGTTCACATAGCGACTAAAATCCTCGAGATCAGTATCTACAACTTAACAACTTCCCTGGCTCTTGACCATCACGCCGCGCTAAACCAGAATTAAGACCCCACTTTAACCACACTCTGGACCATTTATGTCTCTGGTACGTTCTTGATCCACCTTTGCAAATGATTACACCTCCACAACGATGATTGGGTCCAAGTTCCTCCCCACGATCGCTACCAGCAAGAGTCGCCCACACACCGAGACAGATTACATTGGCACGAGAATCACACAGTAGGCCAGCGTGCTACTTGACATGACAACTATTGGGGCTGTCAGAAATGCAGGTGGCAATCCAAGCCATCTTGAAGTTTAACTCAGCGACCCTTATAACGAACGCGCACTCCACAAGACCAAACAAAAGCTTGGTTCTCGCTTCTATTACCGCCATAAGTTGATTAAGCTTCGTGGCTTGAAAAGCCCAGGGATCAGGATGATCTGCCGCCGCGCGTCCGTCCTTCGTGGTTGTTGCATCACTTTGACTGCCTTGGGGCTGTCGCATGATCGTTGCGAGAGATCTTGCAGTCGGAGAAAGCCTGTGAATATACTGCATGGATAATGAGCGGTACATACAGTATAGCAGTGCGAAAAGTATCATGAGCAGCGGCAATGGACAAACTCGAGCGATGCCAGTGTCGTGAAACGCTCAAGTTCACGAGAACTTCGCACTCAACACCGGACCGGCCTTCCAAGATCAAGATACTCTGGTACACGATAAGGAATAAGCTAATAATCTACTAGCTATACCGTAATGGCATGCCATATAGCTGGGCCGTCCCCTCGGGGGTCGTCTGCCCGGCCCGTAAGTGGAGCGTTATGAGCCACAATGTGCACTCATTTACCGAAGCAGAGGAAGATCGATATCGATTCTTACATCAGTATTCAAAGTGCATCTGGCATCGCCGTTTCCTCGCTGCTGACCTCAGCAGGTGCGGAGTGACGGGGTATACCTTCTCTCTTCCTGAGTAATAACAGCTGCAACCACACACTTTCCATCTAATCCCATCACAAGTTCATCTTCTCAACTCATCGATTTTGCTGGCAAACCACACCAATGATACTGGCCCGCTTTGAAGACACGACTAGATCTGAGGTTCGCCTCGATCACAGTTGCGGAAAACATTGACAGTCACTGACACCGCTTGCGTCGTGGCTACTCGACACAGGTGAGTAGCTCTTTGAACTCATAACCGCTTTATCCAGGCTTGCTAACGACATTGTCTTCAGGAATTGTGTAGGCGGCCATCACTGGAGACAACTCCAGTCTGAGTCTTCACTTACGCACTCGTCGCCGACAAAGCTTCATCACATCACCTGCGCACCAAACAATCATGGTGTTGCCTGATGAGCTCCTTTCTTTTCTCGGGTGGAATAATTCAGATGCATCATTTTGCAATGGTCCCTACCACATCACTCTTGAAGAAAAGCTCTTGAATCTCCGCCGGATTGCATACGCGTGCTACTTCCAGGAGCTTCGGAACAACCAGCCCGTTACCCAGCTACTCCAAAAAGCGTACGGCCTTTTAGCACAGGACGCTTTCTCCGTCGACAATCGCGCGACTGCTTTGGCAGCTATCGTGAACACTGCTTGGCCTCCGGGCTCATGGACTCCTCTTGCCCCCAATCGGATGTATCTCCATGTAAGTTTGCATGGTCGAGTCTGTGACATCCGACGGAGAGAAAGCTGATCAGAGATACCAGACACCAAATGGATGCCCCAAGCAGAACATCACCCAACGTGCATTCATCAGGGTGAACCAGGCCAAGAAACCTGTCTCAACAGTGACATTGATCGGGCAACATGGCCGAGAAGAGTTTGACCTCCGCGACCCCTCACAGCTATACAAGCTCTTCGACGCGGTGGTAGACAGCGAATTCGTCTTCGCGCTGAAGGAGCAACTTCGCCTCCAAGATGCTCTCCAGCAGACAGTGGAACCTCCACCACAGTCGACAGCCCATGCTCATCCGGGCTTGCCCTCTATCACCAAGCAATACCAGCATGCTTGGAACAACCAAGTTCAGCCTCCCGCCCACGCACTCGTCATCACGAACAGCCAAGTTCGGCCTCACGCCCGCGTACTCGCTATCAAGAATGGACCCAAGGAAGTGACGAAAAAGCCCTCCCGAAGGAGATTGATGGAGCAGAACTTCTTCAAGACCAACCCATGTCGCATGCGCTACCAGCTCCTCCCTTACTCCGCAATCCCCTTCCACCTCATCACCTGGCCACGAAGCGAATCCGCAGTCCCACCTTCAGACCTCGCAGAAACCTCCACCCTGCAAGATTTCATCACCGTGGACGGCGAGGCAGGCTGCGAGCACGACGAGACGCTGCTCTTCTACCTGATGGGACTCGCGATGGAGCGTCTCGAGCAAGAAGGCTTCGCTCTGTTAGCCCATGAGGTGTGCGACCTCCGAATCCGTTTGTCGCGGAGTAGACGCGGAGTTGATCCGCCTTTTGGTCCTACGTCAGGACGACTTCTCGCAGTAGAGCCACACGGGCTGGATGATAAGATACATATCATCTGTCGTGGAGATGTCGAGGATAAGATCAGGATGTGGGTGGTGAATGAAGACCAGGGCCAACAGAGCTGCATCATTCGCATTGAGAAGCGTTCTGAGAATGCGTCGCGGACGCTTTCGAGTCTGGGGAAGAGGGAGGTATCGTCGTCGCCAAGGGTGTACTGCGATATTGCGCCTAAGAAAGTGAAGGTGGAATGATGCGGAAGGGGTCGTAGGTGGCGAAGTTCCTTCTTGTTGGATTCTGTAGACAGTAGTAGGTACAATAAAGACCCTTCTTCTCGATTATATTTACAATTACTGACAATATTCCAGCTAGTTGCGCAGATTCTGTATGCCATTCCCTTGTCGCCAATGACGGTCGCAGTATCGCGAACCGTCTTTTCCAGTGTGCCTAAGTCATTAAAATCGTAAACGCCATTTTCGCCAACGCATCCAATCAACAATTTATGTCCGTGTGTTTATTCCTCTGTATTCCTCGCATAGTACCTTGGTCGGGGCGTCGTCCGCCTCGACCTCCGCTCCTCACCCATATCCTCACTCTGCCTCTCTATCCGCAGCATCTCGCGCACCTTGCCATCGAACGTAACAATAATGTGGTACGGCACCTGCGGCGATGCCAGCCCGGACGACGAACGGGAGAAGTATCCGCTACCTGCCGATGACGCGGGCGACAAAGGTGTGATGGGTGTATTAGGCGACGAGTCTCGTGACGACGATGCAGACGATGTTTGCGTATCGATCGTCGTAGTTTGCGCGTGCGAATCCATTTTTAGGTTTTGTTTCGAGGGTCTGGTAATGTCGATCGTATCGTGCTTTTGGTGGTAGTGGTTGCGGGTACGGTACGATGCGGTAGGGCCGAAAGTTTAAGAATAGACAAGCAGCAGTAGTGTACCGACTCTGTGCTGAATACGAGAAGGGAAAGCTACACCAATAACAATATTGATGCTCGTGTCCTGGCTAAGAATATATTCGTGTGTGCTCGGATGCGGGTGGCAGGTGGTAGATGCCTTTCGTTCCGTAACGCTTTGTTTACGGGTTTGGAGAGGGCCAAGAACAGGTTGGTTGTCGGGGTGGCTGGCCGGAGTACTGCTATGTGGGCAGGTTCTAGATGGCTTTTGAAGGTGGATCAGGGAAGATGTTGCGTAGACCCCTGGAAGCGCGTTAGGGATGATGCTTGTTGAGGGCTTTTTGTTGCTCGGCCGGCGTCCCGCTGCGGGATGACAGGATGTGGAGGTGGTACGTACGAGAAAACCTGCAAGTGCTACGGACGACTTCTCTTTCCCTATTAATCCGTGATATGTGTGAACGAGAAGAAGAAGCAACGTCCCGTTGATAGTTGCGCAAATATATTGTATAGTGACAAGAATATCTGAATCGATATATAGAGCTTGATAATAGTAATAACAAAAGCCCACCAAAAAATCAACAGCTCACCCACATTCCATGGTGAAACCCTCCTCCTATTTATCGAAAAGAACCCACATGGGCTGAGTCCGACGGTCGAGCGCTCGAAAAACACCGCGTCAGCGCCCATCCATCATCATCTCGGAGGCCCACTTGTGGGACGCGTTGCGGTCAGGCATCCGAGGCCGGCCGCCGGCCTGCTGTGCTGCGCCTCGGCCCTAACAGATCGCCATAGCGTGCCTTGAAGAAAAACGTGAGGTGGCTGCACGTGTGTTACTATGTTTAGGCTGTGAGTTGTTCCATTGTTCGAGAAGGAAAGGTCAGGCGCGCGATGGTGTGTTCATCTTTGCTGTGTGGGAGAGTAAGGGCAGGGCGGACGACGTTGGCTGTGCACCGTTAGGAGAAGCGACGGGGGTGTTTGGAAGGAATTATTGCCACTTTGGGCTGTGCGAGGGTGCGAAGCGAGGGCAGAGTCAAGGGAGATGAGCCCCCTGTACATCAGGACAACGGAACTTGTTTGAGGTGTTCTTTCTTACTCGCGAGATGAAGGCGAATTTCGAAGATTGTACTTTGGAGAGATGAGGGTGAATTGTTCGATGGGGATTCGGCAGATGCTATTCGGTCCTACCCCCACAGTCTAATGTCGAGATGCCCACCTGCAATGTCAATCCTGTTCCACCCTCACGAACGGTTTTCCTTTGAGAACTTTCGCACTACATGAGGTGCGTCTTACAGTACTGTACAGCTCGTACACTCTTTGCGGGGTGCATCATGATGGCACTTGAACTGCGTCTTGGCTGCTGCGTGCGCCACCTCCCTTACATACCCCGAGTATGAAGGCCCGTTGACCAGTCGCATTCTTGCCCCAATATCGTCATGATAATCCATCGCTCCGCCATCGCAACACTTCACTCGCCAGAATATCCATCTCACGATCTCTCACAGCCTTGTGCCGATCTCCTCGTATCTACACCGTGTATCACTTGCGACATGGCTAAGGCTGCCCTGCATCCAACCCCGCCATTCACATCACCCAGCGCTCACTTCAGCCGCGGATACGGGCTCCCGGATGACACCAACACTACAAGTACTATGCCATGCGAGGCAGCCTTAACTGGACATCATCGCCCGCCAAGTTGGCAGCATGCGGGGCGCTCGAGGCTTAGGTTGACCGGTTACCCGTCTTGTTTCCGATCCGCGGTTTGACTTCTGTAGCTTCTCGTGGGATGGACTTGATTGGGAGGTACAGTCGATGACGTGGGATTATGGTATTTTACCATGGTACCACGTGCATTGGGCGAAGTTACTTGATGGCTATGTTGATAAGTATGAAAAGGTGGGTGTTCCCTTTATTTCGAGGTTCTTGTTGTGTTTCATTGCGTTCAAGCGTTGCGCATTTTGTCTTTATCATCCACGGAAAGAGTTTGCGCAAGACTTACAAACGGCGCATTATCATACATTACACTCTTTGGCACGAGAAAGCGAACATGGAGAAGCAAAAGAAACAAGAGCGGCAGGAGAGGTCACAACAGCAACAGCAACAGCGTAAGCGATGAGCACCTTCCCCACCAACACCATCCTTAACTTCATGTTAGCGAGATACTCTATGAGCGATATACCTGAAGACCCAAACCAGCGCACTGCATCGTTCATGCCTTCGTCCCGGAAGCGTGCAGACTCGCATCAACCGCGGACAACCCTGCACCATACACCACGGTCATCGGACGGGGAGCAATTGTCTCAACAAGCCGTCATTTCAGCATATCTGAGATCGTCGTATTCTGACGACGACACGGGGCGTCCGAGGAGATTCTCATCAGCTGAGCCCTACTATTCGCCGTCACCAGCACACCAACACCACCCGCAGAGCGAGATTGGAAGAATAAGCGGCAACTTCAACGCGCCAACGGCCATGGAGCTAGAGCGACACAAATCCCACAAGAGGAGTTCGCGGGGGTTGGGGAAGCTCAAGAACGCCGTCAGGGGTCTAGTCAGGGCATGAGGTTTGTTGGTTGGGGCTCAGTACCTGCTTTTCGTCCTACCGCCCATCTCCTACTCTGTCACGTTACACGCATTGTCCACTGTGTGGACCCAAGATACCCCATCATTTCGTATATGCCAATTATTGTTTCATCATGTCCTGTGATCTGCATGCTCAGCTTTCCGGTCTTTGCTGTGCGACACGGCACGGCTGATGGTGATGAATGACATCATTGGACCCATCCATTTCGCAGCGCCACACATCCTTCGCTTCGCTTGCGCCTCGCTTTGCTCCGCGTCCGCCTCCCCGATAACGTTCATCGCCAACATCATCATCTTCCCAGATCATCGCGTGTCATTAAACAGTCCAAGACTGAGTTTGCCAGCTGTGGAATGTCTTCGCCAGTTTGTCATAGAAACCAAGCACTATACGCACTCCTGCCTGCCCAGGTGCCTTTGAGGCGTGGTCTTCTGATGAGCCACACATCATTTCCTCTTCCGGACTGCGATAGCCAAAGCGTGGCTGGGCACGATGGCGCTGCAATGACGTCGTAGTATTACTTACAGGATTGGTATGGGTCTGTGTCATGTACATCATGTGCGTGGTATGAGTAGGCAGCTGTTTAAATATCCCAGCCATCGACCGCAGCAGCAGGACACGCGCAACCAATAACACTTCCATCATCAGAGAACGCTAGTAGTCACACCACATTTCAAGTTATACAAAAGATCTCAGATCTTGTTTTCTAGTCTCTATACTACTACTGCTGCTGCTACTGCCACTGCTACCGCTACTACGAGATCAAGTCATTCCCAAACGCGAAAATGGACCACTACCCCGAAGTCAGCGTCAACGAACGCGAAACCCCCTCCTCGATGCTTTCTTCCCGCCACGACTCCGCCTCGTCCATCGCCAAAGCCGCCGCCGCCGGTCAAAGACCCTCTGGAGCCTCCACTACAGACGATTCCGCAGCGCGCAACTCCTCATACACGTCCTTCCCCAGTCCATCAACACACTCGCACTCGTCAAACCACTCCTCAACCCACCGCAGCGACTCGAGCTCGTCGTCCAACTCGAACCTCCAGCGCATCGAAGCGGAGTACGCGCGGTATACGGATGCGCCGCCGCCGTACAGCGAGAAGGCGTATGAGGGCAAGAGCGACGACGAGAGGAATAATATGCGCATGACGGATTATGCGAAGGAGATTTCGAGGATGATGGGACGACAGTTGGTTAGGGGGTTGAAGATTGATGAGAGGGAGAAGGGGAGGAAGGGGGATAATAAGGCGAGGTGAGGGTGGGGTTTGTGATGTATGATGTGTATGATGTGTTGTTGGAATGATGGTCGGGCTGCGCCTGGTGTTGGATTTGTTTGTATTATTACCACGGTTTCTGTATTATTAGCACAGCGGTGGCGTTTAGTGATGGCCTTGTAGCGCCGGAAGTGTGCAGAAGGCCTTCGGCTTTGATACCACTAGTTCAAATTGGAGTCTTCAACTTGTTTCTTGCCCAGCTTCTGTTGTATTGATCTGGAAACATACGACAGACCGGTCTCTAGCGAAGCTAGTTTACGCACACTGCTTTCCCTTGAGCTCTTTCTTCTGCAGCTCTGCAGCTCGCACGTTCTTTATAGCTTCAACCAAAGGGGTTTCGACGATGGTGTCGAAGTCCAAGTTCACCAGCTCTAGTTGCGGTGGCAGCTTCACGGGTCTCCCATCACTCCAACACACACCCTTGATAAACTTTTCAGACTTCTCGACTTGCTTCTCTCTGGTGTCGCCATGTAGTCCGCACAGAGTCTGGAATGTCTTATCACGACTGTAATCCCGTGGGCAAATGCGATAAAGCACGCGTACAGTCTGTATCTTGGGAAAGAGCTTTCCTAACTGCGTCGCGATCGTGACAAGATTCCGCCAATGATTCTCGACTAAAGTATTTTTCCCAAATTTGTGGTACTGGTCTCGGGTGTGCCCGATTTCTGTGTCGTGAAGGACAGCCACCTTCTTAACGAGATCTGCGTATGTTGGCGACAAGGGCAGGATATGCGAGCCGGGCAGGATGAACTGAGTCTGAAACTCGTATATGGGGCTGCAGATTTGGAGGGGTTGCGCGTAGAGCATTTCGGCGAATTCCCAATGCACCTGGCGGCACGTCCTCATGATATTGCAGTCGTGCAATATATCGGCCTGAGCCTCGGTGGCGGCGGGGATGCCGTATTTTCCTTCGTCGTGCTTATCACGCCATCCGTCTCCGATTTGTGGCAGGTCGGTGCAGATGTAGTTGTAGATCATGTCTCTTAGCTCTCGCGGTAGATCGAGAAAACTGACGCCGTTGTCACCTGCCATGGCCTCCCAGGTTTTGGGTATGGGTTCCTGCTTCTTGTTAGATCTCATCGACACTGAATTCAGTCCAGGTGTGTACGTACGGGCTTTCGGTAGGCAAGAGCAAAGGTGTACTCGGGCGCGTCTGCTTTGGATGGAATGCGCGTATCCATCGTGATGAGATGACATCGTTCTAATCTGGCTTTAGTAAACTACATGATCATGATCAGTACGAGTGACCTACCTGCAAACATCTTGTCTTGAAGTCGCTTCGCGCTGGCCGACTATTACAGTGCTTTAGTCTTTCGAGTTAGCGAGAGTCCCGATCAGTCCAGTTCTGTAGGCCACGGAGTTTTCAGTAGGAATCCACCATAGCAAAGAAGACTAGAGTAAGACAAAAGTCACAGGCGAGACGACCACTAGCTTCTGGGTGAAGAAGCGACATACCGATTCTCTTTCAGCACCGAATCGCGGGCTTGCCCTGTCACAGGCTACCCACCTAGGTAAGTACCTACCAGAAACTTTCTAAGATGTTGTTGACGAGTATGTGGGTGTCCTGTGTTCAGGAGCACTTTGAAAAGTAATGCAGTTGTCCGTGACGCGTATCTAGGGAGGAGCTGCGTGGTTCGAGGGTAATGCGTGCAGGTGCGGAGGATTAGGCAGAGTGCTGACTCAGCAGGGCTGGGGAACGCTAACAACTCCAACGATCTGGGGCTATGACGCAGGCCGGCAGCATCTTCGCGTCCAAACATGGGTTCACGTTACTCTCTCGCTAGTTGTCTCGCGAAGATGCCAATAGCTTTTATCAATGCTAACGACACGGCAACACTCACCCGAATTGACGACAGCTAGCTGCCATGACAAGTCGCGATGGCGCCACGCGCAGAACGCAACGCAACAAAACCTTCCACCCAGCACGCGAACCCGTGAGACACGGCACCGGCCTACGCCTCGAAGGCGATCGTGTCACCGGCCCTATACCTTTTCTCAACCCCACGCGCGCTCATTACCGCCACGACGACCGTCCCGATGTCCGCTACAAGTGGACTTCGCGCAATGACCGCAAAGGACGACATGCCGTAGACATCCAACATAGCCAGACTGCTGTCTCGACGAAGCACGATACCCCCCGCCCGACTTCCTCGTACCGCAGCGTCGCACGCAACATCTGGCGGATGTTCACATACTTCCCCGTATGGGACATTTCCTTCGACGTCGCGTTTGTCTTCACATCGGGCAGCGTAGTATGGTTGTTCAATGCCTTTTTCGTATTTCTGCCGTTGGTACGACCCGATTCGGAATTTACAAACGAGGAATTGTATGGTGGGGGCATAACAGCGTTTGTCGGGGTCTGCATCTTCGAGGTGGGGTCATTCCTCCTCGTAGCAGAAGCTGTGAATGAGGGCCGATCGGGCTGCTTCGGATGGGCCGTGGAGCAGATTCTATCGCATGAAGAGGAGGGGGATGTACGCGTAGAGCTGCGGCCGTCAAAGTCGCATTGCACGCACCACCACAACAAACGGCATGCTGTCAGGACTCGACAAATCGCCGAAGCAAAACCCGCTTTGGAGCCGCAAGAGCGCTCCTGGGTCTGGTGGCCGTCAAACGAAGAACTACGGACCCACTACATTCACAACCTCGGGTTCATAGCGTCCATGTCCCAGCTGCTCGGCGCAACAATCTTCTGGATCGCGGGCCTGACCGCACTGCCCGGCATATACGATCAGATGTCACAAACCCTTACTATAATTCTCTACTGGACAACTCAAGTCGTTGGCGGTATAGGCTTCATCATTTCCGGAGCCTTGTTCATGATCGAGACTCAGTCCAAATGGTGGAAACCTGCTCCTCGAACGCTGGGATGGTGGGTCGGGGCCTGGAACCTCATAGGCGGTATAGGCTTCACGCTGTGTCCGGCTTTCGGATACGATACTCGAAGCTGGGCGCAATATCAGGCGTCACTCAGTACCTTCTGGGGTAGTTGGGCTTTCATGATTGGAAGTACGCTTCAGTGGTATGAGAGTTTGGAGAAATATCCTGTGCAATTTGAGAGTGACAGGTAGCACTTGTTGGCCGACTTCAGACGTTTTCGTTCCCATGCTAATGTAAAAAGCCGGCCATCGGAAGCAAGAAAAAAAAGCTGAGATCGTACCAATTTTTGCGTCCTCCTGATTCGTAATACCAGCCGTTTGCACCTCTTCCCTTCCACTTGCCAATGTGAATTGGGAACACTCCGAATGGCTCCTTCTGCGAAGATCGGGAACGGAAAGCCCTGGGGCGTTAGCGTCCTCTTCGCGGCAGCGGCAACTCTTCAAACGTGAACTCATCTTGACTGAATGACGTTCTCATCACATCTCGTAACCCCATCACAGGGCTGGTCAAGACGCCTCACGTGAACGACGTTACTCAAACGCAGACCAATTCGGCTTTCCCGTCCCCTCCTGGCTCCCACTACGTTACTCCAATCCACTCCTGCCCTTTGGCGAACGTCATGAGTTACAGTTCCACACGAAAAGAAGCTTTGGAGCTTTATAGGAGTGAAGAGCTACCGAGCATTTACAACAGCCACAACACAAGCCCGGGCTCCAACATGCTAGACACACCCAGCACCCTCAGACGTAGCAAGGAAAGACAGTTGAGTGTCGTCGACTGGCACGGCAACGACGATGCGGCAAACCCCAGAAATTTCCTCTCGTGGAAGAAGGACATCAATATCGGTTGTATATTCATCATGTGTTTTGTGTCGTGAGTATCTTGCTTCATTCATACTGTGATCACAACCCGCTAACTTTCAGTAGACCTTTCACGTCCTCCGTCGTCGCGCCAGCAATGCCAGACATCATAAGAGACTTCGCATCAACCGATGCCTACCTCTCTGCCTTCGTCCTGAGTATCTACGTCCTAGGCTACGCGTTCGGTCCCCTTCTGATAAGTCCCCTTTCGGAGCAATACGGCCGACTGCCTTTGTACCACGGATGTAACGTGCTCTTCACGGTAAGCACCTTCGCATGCGGACGATCCAACTCTCTCGGCACCTTGGCTGTCTTCCGCTTCCTCGCCGGCGTGGGCGGTAGTAGCGTATTCGCCCTCGCGCCATCCAGCATCGGTGATCTCTGGGTGAAAGAGAAACGCGGGGGTGTCATGGCCTTGATAGGATTGGCGTATAATCTCGGTCCAGCGATTAGTCCTACAGCGGGTAGCTTCCTCAACGCTGCGAGAGGGTGGCGGTGGATATTCTATCTTACTGCTATTTTGGGCGGGGTGAGTACGGCGCTCAGCATGGTATGTTTGTCGGAGACGTATGAACCGGTTCTACTCCGTCGAAAAGCTGCACAGTTGCGGAAACACACGGGAAATAAGGATTTAAGGGCCAAGTCTGATTTGGACGCTGGGACGAGCAAGTTGGTAGCTTTTCGCACGGCGATGGTCATGCCGCTACGCATGCTTTTCCTGTCTCGACCGATCTTCTTTACCTCGCTGCTCACGGCCATCGGATACGGATCCCTATATATCTTGTACACGACCATCCCGACAACATTCGTCGAGACTTATGGATGGGCGCCCAAAAATCTGGGCCTTGCTTATCTCGGTACGGCTGTCGGCAACCTCATTGGTATGCTTGGAGGCGCTGCAATTAGCGACAGCCTCGTCAAGCGGAAGGCACTCAAGGGCGACACGAGACCGGAGAACAGATTGCTACCCATGATTTTCTGGTGGCCGCTTGTGGGTATCGGGTTGTTCATCTATGCTTGGACGGCTCAGTATGGTGTGCACTGGATTGCGCCATTGATCGGAACGGCGGTGTTTGGTGCTGGGTCCATGAGCGCTATCGTAAGTTCATCCTCCTCAACTCATGTATCGTCTTGAGTCGGTTCTCAACACTTGCCATACGACCGCTAACTCTCATCTAGTTCTTCACAGGCACATACATCCTAGACGCCTACCCACTCCACTCCGCATCTGGCATGGCCGCCTGCTCAGTCATGCGCTCGCTCGTCGGCGGTCTCGCGCCCCTCTTCTCGCACAAGATGTATCAAAAGCTCGATGTGGGGTGGTCCTTTTCGTTGCTTGCGTTCGTCGCTCTTGCTTTCGCGCCGGTACCGTGGGTATTTTATACTTTCGGTGAGAAGTGGCGTGCTGGTGAGCGTTATGGAGGGAGGGGCGATACGGGTGGGTTGGAGCGAGGACAGGTGGGATCAAGGGTCGTGATGGTGGAGGTAGATGGGAAGGCGCTTGCGTGATCAGTCATGGATGTGCAAGGTCGTGGTTGCCTGATACGGCTTAGCCACAACGATGCCTTACCTTGCGATGCTCTCACTTCCAACACTTCACTCTAAGCCGTCGTTGTCCGTGTCTTGCGAGCATATTAACCTTGCGATTTCTCTCGTTCCTTCATTTCCCGATGCATACTCCATGCTCCGCTCGAATGGCTATTGTACTTATTGCGGCAATCGCGAGTGACCCTCGCTCGGTCGCAGTACTATGGAACCTGGTCGTTGTTGCCCATATCGCCAGGACCAGTGCTGTCCCCATAAGTCAACTTCTCGATGTATCATTCCCTCACACATCCATCATCATAACAAGTTCGTCTAATCACATTCCGTTACCATCACATGTTTACTGGCACACATCCGTACCCGTTCACTTTTATCAGCAACGCAACGCTTATATTGGGGTCACTTTCACTATCGACAGTCACCAAGAGTGCGCACGCGATATTGCGTCCGTTTGCGCACCGTCACTTGCGCTCGAAAAGCCTACATATCATAGAAACGTTCATCACCCGGCACATCACAGATACTACACCGCTCCCCACCTCCCACCTCGCCAATGATCGGCCAACGAAGAAGCGCACACGCCGAGCCAGCGAATATGGCACTTCCCGCTAGAAGTACGAACATGTACAATAGACGCTACATAAACACCGCCAGATCGGATCACAAGACACTCAACTTAAAGCCCGAAACCACCCGTGCATACCAATCCGGCGATCCATCCGTCCAAAGTGCTCCCGAAGTTCCAGGCACAATGAAGATCATCGTCGGACCAGATTCAAATCAACAAACCTGGCATATACCCAAAGCACGTCTAATACGACACTCAAGCATGTTCGACGGGATAATCGCCGCAGACAGGAAGATTTCCGAAGTCCATCTCCCAACCATCACACCCAAAGCCTTTGCCGATTTCGTTCCATACATGGAGTCGAGCGTATACAGTCCGAACACAGTTGTTACCGGTTATCGTAGCCTACGTGCACATACTGATGCCTGCCTACTCGGGGTTAAGCTCGAAGCGGATGTATACTGGGAAGCCGCCATGCGGGAATTGCACGGGCTTGTCGAGCCACTCGCCCGGTCGACAAGATCCGACGCGAAACAATCTTTACTTCGAGCGAGTGACATTGCGTACATCTGCGCTAACACCACCGCCGAGAGCCTTCGTCGTATCGCGATCATCGGTCCTGTTGCAAGAAGACCGTCTGTTGGCTCCCCGCCTCCTCCAAGACAAGACCGCCACAGTCAGGCTTCCGCCGGGATGGAACTACTCCAAAGACTCTTTTTCGACGCCCTAGCCTCTCATTGGTCTCAGCGAGATGTCCACTATATCGGCGCACAGGATTCACCCCGTGGCGGCGGTTTCAACAGAAACGACGTTCCGGGAGATAGCACCACGTGGGGAGAGCTATGTGAGACGTACCCTGACTTCAAAACCCATATGGAAAATACCGGAGACATGCAAAGTCGTTACCGGGGCAGCATACTGAGCGATGTCAACACATACCTCGGCCTTCCAGTTAAGCCCGACCCCCAAGAAGAAGACAAAAGTGAGGGTAACAGCAGTCGCAGCAGTGCCACGGCGGTCCAGACAGAGGATATTGATGACCTCGTGGAAGAAGAGACGCAACGGCCAAAACTCACGCTCAAACTGAGGGGTCTTCTGAGGCGGACCAGCAGCAGGGTGTTCGAAGGGGAGGGTTTGAGGAATGTCAGGGAAGAGCACCAAGACCGTCTTAGGTCTGGGGAGAGCGCAGATGAAGAGGACTCCATTGACGACGGTGCTGAAGAAAACCCGTCCCAGGAGACTGCGGAGGGAGTGGACGCGGCCAGAGATGAATCAACCCAATCCGATGAGACTACAGAGGGCATGGACGCGGCCAATGACGAAGCATCCCGAACCGAGGAGACAGCGGAGGACACGGACGCGGCCAACGACGAAGCATCCCAAACCGATGTGACTATAGGGGGTCTGGACAACGGGTTCGAGGAGGGGTTTCTAACCGGCTTTAGTGGGTCGTTAGAACGTTCGTGATGGGGGTGGTGAACAATGTTGTGCTCGGGATCTTGGACGCACTCTTTGATGTATGAGCTGCCCACGTACTCGTTTAGTTTCAGCATGCACGATCGTTCTGGCGATGTCTTTTAGGTGTGCTTGTGCGAAGGGCTTTCCTGGATATCAAGTAGCGTGAATGGTATCATGTTGTAGCTTCGATGTTGCCAGCTCTTTCGTGTGTGCATGGTATAGATGGGAAAATAAAATAATCACTCTGCAGTGTACATTTGTATTCGAATAGAGGTTAGCAAAGTATTGACTTCATGTATGCTCTTTGGCTAATAGCATTCACAATGTTATGTAGATGGGTGTTCGATTTGCTTTTGTCGTGATTGACAACGACTTACTGTTATGGCATGTGGATCACCCAAATCTACTTGCGTTTCCCTTGCTTCCCGGGCTCATCAAGGAGAGGACTCTGTCTTTACAAGATATTAACGCAATCAGGTAGTAATACCGTGGATCTGCATCATGACCTTCCAGCGATGAAACATCAGCGCCCGCGAGGCTGTCACCAGCGTCAAGGCGTCAGTTTGCCTTGTAGATGCCTGGCTCCCCTTACGATCGGGCGTTCTGAGATCCTAGGGTTGAATCCTTCGGCTTGTTCAATGTGATCAACACCTAACACATGCATCCAGCAGCGGTAAATAGTAAAAGCCACGCCGTAAACACACATCTGCCACGAGCGTTTACGGACATCACTCCGACTTGAACCACCCCTCCGTCAAGGTTGAGTCAACCCACCATCAACATCCCCTAAGACCACCGTCTCAGAACCACAAGAAAGATAGTGGTTGCTAAACTGGTCGCCAGGCACCTCGCCGCACCCACGCATCTGCCACCAGCGCCTACTTCCAGACCACCCACATGCCCAAACCACCTCCACACATCCGCATCAGCAAGGCGGCGGCGGCCAGACCACGAAACCCGCTCACCCACCTAGGTGTACTTTACTTACCCCAACCCACATACGCGCGCCTCTATTCATGGCGTCTTCGCAATCGAGTGGCCCAAGTCATCCGAAAGCGCATTACGCAAGCGCTGGTGTCGCACCCAAAGGATGAGGCGAGAGCGACTGGGACCTTTTCTTAGGCCTAACCCCCGCCCGCGAGCGCCACGCAACCGCATCGATGACCTGCAGTAGTTTGCTACCCGTGCCGCTTGCTCCCTGGATCTGTCGAACGAACGGAACTGCGAACAAAAATAAAGGTTCAAGGCTGGATTGATGGTGGATTGGAAAGATGCAAGTTAGTGGTGATGAGTCAATGTGTTGATCACCTGCTGGGCGTAACGCGCATGCGACGCGAGTGTTGGCGGCGCAATCTACTTCGTCAGCAACAACGCGGTGCGTCTTCGTTTGTTTCTCCGCTGGACACGCAACGCAGCGAAAGGCAAGGCAGTCTATCAGGTCTCGCGATGCAAGGACCGACTCCATGTCGTCAGCTGATAGCTTGCAGACGGAGATGCGTTGCGGCTGTAAGATGTAGCAGCTTGTTTCTGCACTGCCGACACTGCGAGAACATTTTGTAAAAAGGTGAGGCTTGTTTCATCTTATGTTTTGCGCTGTTGGCCCACGGGTAGGTGGAGCAGCGACGAGGAAGCAGGCGAGTGAGTTGGTGAGGCGGTGGAGACACGGCATTTGGCAGACCCATCTGTGCGAGGCGGCAGACGAGGATCCCGTGGCTATGTATACATGACATGGTATAGTCGCCCAGCTTCCTGAAGCGCGAGGGTTGTCCTTGTGTGTGAGCTGGGTATGAGGCTGTCAATGCATAGTGGATGGCGAAACATGTGAGTAATGGCGGGCAGGCGCGGGTATTGGGCTTGATGGAGCTGGTAGGGCTAAGAGCCAAGAGTAGACGCCCGTGGTACTGTGTGAAGATGCCCATCAGGTGATTACTGAGATACGGAAGGCGAAACATTGAAGGTTGTAAGATTTGTGCTGACGAGGCTGTCGTTGCTTCGTGATGTGGCAAATGGTGTGAGTAGCTCACATGACTTATCGCATTCAGAAACAATGTCACTGAGAGACCGCATTGTTCTCATGCGCCTGCATCACGTTCGTGATGGCGATGTTCACATACACGTGACCGGAGATGTCTCACTCAGACAAAGTGCTGCGTACGCCAAGTGCAAAACCCGACTGCGCGCGGATTCTCGGGCTTTGCGTCGAACATACTCAACGCCTTTGACCACTTCACCATGCATACGCTGTACGGCGTCTCGACGCCGGAGTTCTGCCCTGTAGTCGGACCTTACTGCAGAAGAAACTTCGCAGATTACTCGCGGCCGCTGTGATCTGCGGGACCCTCAGAGGCTCAGATCGAATCACCCCATAACCACGACTAAGCTCAACGCGAGCGGCTGTACTCGTCCAGAAAAGCCATGGAACAACACAACAGAACCGCAGAAGGTCCGACGTCCCTGCCGATCCAATCTCCTCTGGGTTGCCAGAGTGTAGAGTTTGGTTCGGTGGATAGTTACCGCCGACTAGAGGGCTGCTAGAGCTGAGTGTTTCATCATCCATCTCGATTACTCGCAACGCACGCGTGCGACCAGTATAGGGTCGTGTAAGCGACGCGTTAGAGTTCACGCTTCGCCAACGAGCCGGGCCCCAGACGGAGACTCCAGTTTCCTTTCAATGAACCATGGTGGAGCGCGCGGGTGGCTTGAAAGCAAAGCTTTGGATGAAGCCGCTTGACGAAGTTTCCAGTACGTCGTTATTTCTGCATATACTGTTGGGACTGACATGTGAAGGGGGTGTATGGGCGGGTGATCTAAAGACGCGAGACATGTGGAATATACTCCGGTTGCTGAGGCACCACCCGGGAACAATGTTTTGATGAGCTGTGATGATGTTGGTCGATATGTGAAGAACGTTTCCAGAATGACGAGCCTGACCCCGAAATCTTCGTTGAAGTGGGCTCCTACGTCGTTGCTACCTGCGTATGCATGTACTCGCTGATCGGACCCTGGGAAAGCGGTTTCTTCGGAAGCACGATGAGAGATCTGACCTCAGCGTGCTGTATCAGAATAAAGTGATGAACAGGGTCTTGCATCACCGACCGCCGATGATGACGTCTGGGCAGGCATCAGCGACCTTGGAATGAAGCCGCGCAAGCTAACCCGAGAAGATCATCAGCTAACAGAGACGGCCTCCGTAAACCTTACAGAACAACGTAGGATAGACAGATATCCACTTCGTAGCCAAACTTGTTATGTCAGAACAGAACGCCGCCAGGGTGAAGTTCCCGCAATGCATAATGATATAACGACATGGCGCTGCAAGACTTGCGGAGTCTGGTCCTGCCTTAGTAACCACGAAACGTTTGCTGCCTGCGCCGGCCTGGAGATCGACGAGGAAAGCTTCGGACCGACTCAGAGCGGTGTATACTATATTTTGCCATGCGTTTTGCTCGGCCAATCGAAATGTACACAGCCGCAAAGCATGTCTTTGCCAGCATTCTTAATTGCCACAGCCTAGCAATTTCGGCGGGACCAAACAAGATCTGAGTAGGCACGAGGAAAACAAGGCTGATGTGCTGTCATTCGTTGGCCACACGAAAGTTTTCAGGTGGCCACAAAGTCTGGATCTGACTGGGCCTGCAATAGTGGGTGGTTGATCTGGTAGTATCGTCACTGGCGTCGCCTGATGTTGCCCCCAGCCGCAGACGCCACGTCGCAGGATCTGTAAGCCATCGAGACACTTGTGGTGGGCACCACATGTCGATTGGATGTTCCCTTGATCACACTGCCGCCGTTAGAGTTTGAAGGCGCACTAGGTGTCTGTTAGAGTTTTAAGTAGTAATGTTTAGTGTATATTCTATAGGAGAGTAAAGGTAGCTAAACTATAAGTATAAATCTTATAATACTATAGTTACCTATTTCTAGAAGTAGAAATTTTACGCGCGCTATACTTAACTTTTTTCTATTACTATAAAATTTTTACTATTATTATTATATTTACTATAGTATTTTTTACTACTTTTACTAACTCTAATAACTTTAGTACTAATAAGTATAAAAATATTACTATATAAGAATTAGACTTTAGCTTATACTTTAGGTAATACTTTTAATATATATATACTAAAATTATTAGCTTAGTAAATATATAAGTATATATCTAATATAAAGAACTAATTATTATAATTAGTATTAAGCTTAAAGTTACCTATATTTTAAGTAAATTATAGTTAATATACTTAAGTAATATTAAATTTTTTATACTTAAGAAAATTACTATACTTAAAGCTTTTTATAAAAAAACTATTATTATACTTAGAACTAAAGCTATATCTTTTATACTTAATACTTAGTTATAGTTACTTATAAGCTTAAAAAATAAAGTTTATAACTTTTAGAATTACTAAGTACTTAAATTATAAGCTTAAAAAAAAAGCTAACTAGTAAAAAATAAATAAAAGTATAAAATATATAGAGAATTTAGTAGATTATACTATAAAGACTAAATAAATTAATTAGTATATTCTAATACCTAATACCTCTAAAATAATACTAGACACTAGGGGTTAAAGGCGCAGGAGGTTGAGATGGCGGGGCATTTTAGTTTTGGCGGGTGTCTTATCGATGACTATCGATAACGGGCTTATCCTGAAATTCGCGCTGGTCAGCATTTGGCGGTGAAAGCACTGGAGGCTGCGACTCTCGACCACCTCCACTGAAACGCTCGAGCTTTGTGGAGAACGCCTGTCCGGCAAGGAAAGCATGCACGATTCTGAATCAGCAGGATCGAAAACGCGCATAGAGCAGCCTACGGCGGGTCGGACGGATCAAAGCAGACAACACGATGCTTGGAAACGACGGCATGTTGACGGATGGAGGCTGTTGCGGGTTGCACTATTGCAAACTGCATGTTACTATGCAGCGCGCTCACAACTCACCAAAACACAAAATATGCGCTCTATGAAAGAGATTGCTAGCGTCTTGACAAATTACCATGCGCAT